AAAAAAAAAAAAAAATCTCTGTTTTGTTTTTTCACCATGATGTGTCTTCTTTTTATTTATTCTACTTCGGATTTGTTGGAATTTTTGAATCTGTGAACCATAATCTTTCATCAGTTCTAGAAAATTCTCTTCCAATACTGCCTCTGCCCCTCTCTCTCTCTCTCCTGTTCTTTGGGAACCCCAGTTGTATATATGCTAAACTATACAGTCTGTCCTCCACACTTAACTTCCCTAACTTATCTTCTGTTACCGAATCTCTGTGCTACATGTTCTAACACTTCTTCTGACCCACTAAGTTTTACAAGTTTTCAGTTACATGTGTTCGTTTCTCAAAAGTTACTTATGTTCTGCTTAGAATTTGCTGTATCACTTTTTACGGTTTCCTATTCCTTGCAGACATTTCCAAGATTGTCTTGTCTTTTATTCTTTACATCTAAGCATGTCTGCTTCATAATTCGTGTCTGAGAATTCTGGTATCTGTGGGTCGTGGGGGCCCATTTCTGCTGTCTTTCCCCTACTAGCTCTCACTTTCGGTGCCTCTCCTCCTGTGTGCGTGGAGGGCTGCCTGGGCCCTGGGGCAGTTACTCATGGAGATTCTCTGAGGCTGGAGGAAGATTCTTCTTCCTCTGGGGGGGATCCGTATTTGCTTCTGCCAAATACCTAGGAGTGCCACCTACCACCTAGAACCACTTTAACTAAATTCATGGCCTGGGGGTGGGGGGGCCTTAACTACCTCATGGACATAAAATTGGGCCACAGATCTGCCCCAGGATCAGCCATAGGTAAGTTCTCTCCATCATGATTTCCAGGGCTCACTGGCAACCAGCTGACCAAAGCCTTTAGCAGCCTTTTGGCTTAGGGGAGACCAACAGATCAGGGCCTGGGAGGAGAGGGAGTCGTGTTTGGGCTGCCTCATTTCCAGAGTCCTTGAACTGCCTTTAAAGTTGCATGTATACAGGTCAGCATTACCAAAGCACATCCTATGGCATAACATTTAGAGTAGGTCATTGAAGGAGATTTTATGCTGTTTAGATGACTTCAGCAGACACAATTTTGAGAGAACAAAACGTAACGCGTCGTACATTATTAGATTACCAAGTTCTAAAGCTAAACCAAACTCTAACAGCATGAAGACAACAAATTTTTTTTTCTTCAAATGAGTTCAAAACTTTTGCTGGCTCTGAACGGAGATTAAATAATTTCTCGGGGTGCCTGGGTGGCTCAGTCGGTTAAGCGTCCGACTTCGGCTCAGGTCATGATCTCACAGTCACGGTTCAGGCTCCGCGATGGGTCCTGTGCTGACAGCTCAGAGCCTGGAGCCTGTTTCGGATTCTGTGCCTCCCTCTCTCTCTGCCCCTCCCCTGCTCATGCCCTGTCCCTCTGGGTCTCAAAAATAAATACAAACATTAAAACAAATTTTAATAAAAAAAATAATTTCTCAGGCTGAATGATACCTGCATAACAAAGAAATGGGTACGTACCCTTGTAAAGCCAGCAGCAATGAGGGGCATCACAGAGGACTCTTCTCTATCCGTCCTTCAAAAGAACACAGTCCAGGGTCAGAGACAGTTTTTAGCAGTAATAGCTCACCTCTTTTACTCACTATTTACATAATACTATGACTATCATATAATGGCAAATACTTTTAGATGCATTAGATTAATATACCAATCAGAAGTGTAAAATTGAAAATAGTTTTCTGTTTTTGTTTCGTAGGTAGCTTTCTGGCAGCATACCATAAAGTCTGAAATATGGAGATCGCACGGACAGCCAGAATACAGGAGTAACCACGTATCTATTTGATATGTAAATATTTTAACTTAAATTCTTCCCTACTTTCTTCTACTTCCAATTAAAAAAAAAACAAAAAACCTCTTCTCCCTCCCCCCCACCCCCGCAAACGTTCTAGGAAAAAAGTTTAAAGGACAAAGAATTCCTTCTTCTATCTACAAAAATATATAAGCTAAATAACACTTATTTGAATACTGCCCTTCTCCCAGCACATTACTGTTCTTTCCTTACCTTCAATTTCAGGATGAAATACAAGATTTCTCCCATGTACGTATAATCAAATCTTCATAAATACTTGGGAGTTAGAAGGCCCTCGGGAGATGTCCCTGGTAACATTCATACTTTGAGCAATGGAACTCTCTCATGGTCTGCCTATTTCTAAAGTGAACGGCAGTCCCAAATCACAAAACCTTCCACGAGAGCAGAAAGTCCCTCCGTGGAGGTAACTGGCGAGGTAAAGACAGTAAGAAGGAAAGAAAAGGCCAAAAAGGTCACACCTGTCACAGCCTACAAGCTGTTAGGCCCCTGCTAAGAGCAAGCAGGACACAGACACCTGAACTTCAACATCAAAACTGGTGACGGCTTACCTGCGTACGACACCAATGATAATTGTGTTTTCGGAGAGTTTTGATGACCTGATAGACCTTTAAAAAACAAACAAACAAACAAATTTTTTAAAAATGTAAAGTACTTCTTAAAAAAAAAAATACCCTTAAATTTTGGAAGAACGATCAAAGCTGGGGGGAGGCAGAAGAGGGAGCAGGCCACATTCTGGATTTCCGTTCTTGGCTACTCAATCTTCCTCCCTCAAGGGGACAGGCCCCTACTCCGTGGACGAGTAACCCTAACGCTCACGCAGGACAAACATAACAGCTGCTAGAGACGGCGTGCCTGCTACTCGCTCTGACCTTTGTCAACCTGAGTGTCTCAGGTGGAGAACGTTCCCTACCTCGGGCTTATGTGACAGGGGTTATCGGTCTCTCGCCATCAAAGGGACACGCGAGTACATGTGTGTTACCACACACTGACAGCCGCGGTTACGGTGGGGACGAAGCCCAAAGGCCCGCTCCCTACATCCTCCAGAGAGTTCCTAGGTACAGTGTGGGCAAGAGCGGTAGCCGCAGAATTCAGAAGTAGCAGGATCTCCGAATCCGTCAGAAAGAAGAGACAGAGAAGAATGGAGGACTGGTCAGGAAGAGTAGGGGACGCTGCTCCACCAAAACCGCCCCCCCCCCCC